TAATCGCTCACCTAATATGTCCGCAGAAGAGAATATGAACGCAGATGACCACAGGAAAGAGAAAGAGAATCAACATTCGTTTGAGCGTGAGCTTCTGCTGGAGCAGATTATCAAGCTCACGATGAGCTCAAACGATGATTCTCTTTCTGTGGGCTTCAAGCCCACGTCTCTTGACTCGCTCTCTTCTTTTCTTTTCCATCAAACCCACCATTCTCTTTCTTTCTTTCTTATGAAAGAGAATTAAATTGGTGGGTTTGGAAAAGAAAAAAGAAGAGAGACTACGTGTCAAGAGACCTTTCCTTCAATGAAAAAGAAAGAGGAAAACATGTGGACGATTAATTGCTGGCTCTTTTCTTTTCTTTTGCCAGCAAATAATTAATCGTCCATCAACATGTTTTCATTTCTCTTTCTTTTTAAATCATTGAAGGAAAGAAGAAAAGCATTCGTTTACTGGCGAGCTAACTATCCCAAGGTCCGCTTCTTTAAAAGAAGCGAATGAAGACCTTGGGAACGCTCGCCAGAGAATGCTTTTCTTGATCCGTCTCTCAGGACGGATCCTCTCTTGATCCTTGAAGTGAGCTCATCTTCTAATGGCCGTGATAAGGAAGCGAGCGCATCAGCGCTTCAATCGCTTCCAGAATCGGCCATAGAAGGCTCACAGCTGGATCAAGAGAGAGAAAGTGCCCAAAGAAAAGATGACGTGTTGATCGTTATTTGATCGGCGGTCAATCTCTTTGCGATCAAATTAAGAACGATCAACTGTCTCTTTTCTTTGAATGGGCACTTTCTTTTTCTTTTACAAGAAATCTTATTTTCTTTTTATCATTGGCCAGTAGAATGCTGACTCTTTTTCTCTTTCTCTTTTGGAGTCAGCATGAATTTCTACGGCCAATGAAAAGAAAAAAGAATTTCTGTAAAAGAAAAGTCCGTGCATAATGATGGCATCAAATAACCTTCCCTTCTATGATCCGCTCTCTTATTAATAAAGAAAGAAAAGGACATACGAGCGGATCATAGGGAAGGTTATTATGCCATCGCACGGACCAGATTCCTTCAGGAAATTGATTTCTTTCACTCTTGGCTCTTCTTTTCCTTCAAGGAAAAGGTTATTTGGATGAGCCAAGAGATGACAGAAAGAAATCATTTCTGGAAAGGAATCTGTCTCTTTCCTAATAATTTCTTTTATAAATTTATTTAATTAATTACAAAATAAATTTATTTAAAAGAAATTATTGAAACGGAAAGAGACCCTGGCTAAGATCCCATTGCTGGCATTCTCTCTCGCTCTTGTCCTGGAAGCGATCAGCCATAGGCTGGCTCTTAAGAGCATCGCTTCCACAAGAGCACAAGAGAGAGAATTTATGCCAGCAAAGGCTTAGCCAGGAGATGGGCACACGTGATCTTTACCTTCTTGCCGTCTTCATTTTCTCTTTCAAGAGAAACGGCAAGAAGAAGTTAAAGACACGATTTGCCCATCTTCATTTTCTCTTTTAATTGAGCCTCCAGAGAAAAGAAAGCAAGTGATGAGCCGGTGAGCGATCGTTAGTGCCTCAGCACTTGCTCACCTTGAGGCTCACACTCTTGCTCTTTTCCTGAGGCTCAATTAGAGAAAATGAAAGGACCGCTGTCATGATAGGACCTCCTCCTGATTAATCTCTTTTCTTCTTCTTGGTCTCGATTAACATCTGTTTGTTAAGCTGACAGAAGAAAAGACAATGCTGTCAGCCAAACAGATGCGAGACCAAGAGACAAGAGTTGAACGGAGGAGGTTCTATAGCGGTCCTTAATTCCTTTCCCATAATTTTCCTATTTAATAAAAGAAAGAATAATAAAATCTTATTTGCTGCTGACCTTAACAAAGGAAATAATAAAGGTCAGCAATAAGATTTTATTTCTTTCTTTTATTAATGAAAATTATTAAGGGAAAGGAATATGATGCTGATGAAAGAAAAAGTAAAAGAAAATAGCATTCTATTGTGAGCTCCTTCCCTTCTCTTTAATAAGAGCTCACGAATGCATTTTCTTATCTTTTTCTTAATGCCATCAGCATCATCATTCATTTTCTTAAATAAAAGTTGTCAATCAATTGTTTTTGTTCTTTTCCTTTAACAATTGATTGAATGACAACTTTTATAGAAAATGAATGCTCTTCCAACATCTCTTTGAAAGAGAAAAACTTGTTGGCTCATCAATGTGGGCTTATATTTCCTTTCTTTAGGAGCCCACATTGAATATGAGCCAACAATTGTTTTTCTTTCTTTCAATAAGAGATTCAGTTGGAAGAGGCATCAATATTTTCCCTTTTTAATTTCTAAATGAAAGGATATTGCTGAGGCAATTATGAAATCCTTTCTTTAATTTAGAAATTTGTAAAAGGGAAATTTGATGCGTTTCCTTCATGAATGCGTGCTTGACTTTCTTTTCTTTTCTTTTCTTCTTTTAAAAGAAAAAGAAAGAGCACGCATTCAATTTGAAGGAAACCTTTCCTGTAGTTGACCGAAGGTGAAAGCCTCGTCGGCTCTTCGGTCAAGCGCTTCAAGCGCCTACAGGAAAGTGAGCGTAAGCGATGATGTCATTCTCATGTGCCAGCGTGTCAAGGTGTCCTTCAATCGAGCGAATCAAGTGCTGAAGCACAGCTCGAGGACACCCACGCTGGCAATGGAATGAATCGCTTACGCTCGCATCCTCGTTCACTTTCTTTCAGATGGTGGATCGGTGGCTCGCTCTCGCTCTTTTATTTGGAGCCACCGTTTGATCCACCATCTACAAGAAAGAAAGTGTGAACACGAGGATGCAATTTTCCTTTCAATAATTGATCGCATCTTCGGTGATCGCATTCTTAAGGTCCTGTGCGATCACATGCGATCAATGAAAGGAAAATTCTCTGGCCGTTACAAATCCAAAAAAGAATGAAAAGAAGTCTTGCTCGAAGGAAGAGCAAAAGGAAGGACTTCTTTTCTATCATTCTTTTTTGGTTATTTGTGTACGGCCAGAGGATCAGGGCTTACTTCCATCTCCTTAACAACCGTTCTTTTAGAAAAGATAAAGAGAATGTGGAACGGTTGTTGGAAAGGAGATGGAAATATAAGCCTCTGATCCCATTCCTTTTCATTCAATGATTAATTTCCTGAAGAAATCTAATCATGAAAAGGAATGCATCTGGCGGATCAAGAATACAATCCTGAGCTGCTTTTCCGCTTTCTTAAAGAAAGAGAAAGGGAATGAGCTCAAGGATTGATTCTACCGCCAGATGATACAAAATCACTTTCATGGTGGAATCTTATCTACACGGCAGATCTTTGTCTTCTATGTGTTTGATCTCATCTTGAAGATGAGCTACGATCAAACACATTTAATAGAAGACAATGATGATCTGCCGTGTCAATAAGATGAAGCCACCATGATAGAAGAGATTTTGTATAATTAATTTTCATATTTTATTTTCTATCTCATCATCCATTAATTAATTGTTGTTATAAAAGAAATTAAAAGAAAAACAACAATTAATTGGATGATGAGGGAAAATAATAAGATTGAAAATTAATTGGAAAGAAAACTAAAATGAATAATTCTCCGGTAAATCGAATGAAACGCAAGTGATTAAAGAGAAAGCGTTTCATTCACCGGAGAATTAATTCTTTTGTTTTCTTTCCTTTATGGAAAGGAATAAGCCAGACGTTATTAATCAAGAAAATAAAATTAAGAAAGAAACTGATGACGGTTATTTTTATGTTTCTTTTCTTCCGTCATCATTAGTTTCTTTCTTTTTATTTTCTTGATTACGTCTGGCATTCACTTTCTCTTAACTTCTTCCTCATGGATTTATATTTTATTTTCTTATTATTATTCTTTTACAAGAAAATAAAATAAAATAAATCCATGATTATAAAGAAGAAGTTAAAAAGAGAAAGTGAATATTCCTTTCCACAAAATATTAATTTTTATGAAAGAAACGATTGATGGCAGCCTATGGCTGGCTCTGAAAGAGCTGACCCTCAGGTCACCATCAATCAAATGTTTCTTTCTTAATAAAAATTATATTTTGTGAAAGGAATGACATCATCTTTAATATTCTTTCTAATGTGGGCTTTTTTCTTTTTTCCTTTGTATGCCCACATTTAAGAAAGAAAAAAGATGATGTCAGGAGCGGTCATTAAATGATTCTCTTGATTGCCGGTAAACTGCTGGGCCCTGATGGCCTCATCTTTAAGATGACAGCAGTTTATATACCGGCAAGAGAATCATGTGACCGCTCCTATTTCCTTGTCAGAGTGAGCGAACGTGCATCAGCACGGGCTTTAAGCCTTCGCTCGCTCTTATTGACAAGGAAATGAATGAAAACACGTTTCTAATCTTCACAGGAATCCATCCGTCTCTTAGTCTCTTTCAAGAGAACATTGAGACGGAAGTGATGGATTCCAGAAGTTAGAAACTAAATGTGTTTTCATTCAATGATGACGTCAGAACTATTTTCCTTTCTTTCCTTTAGTCGTGATGATGCCCTGATGGCATCAATTGATCACGACAAGGAAAAGAAAGGTGAAAATAGTTTACAGGACGTCATCATTCATTGGCGGTCTAATAAAAGAAAGAAAAAGACTGACCGTCCGATCAACTGGTTGAAAGAAGAAAAGTTGATCAGTTGGACGGTCATGTCTTGTTTTCTTTCTTTTGACCGCCAATCTTTCCTGTGATCGCTTAACCGGTAATGAGCTCGTGGACTTCAAGTCCACATATAAGAGAAGGAGCTCATTATTACCGGTTAAGAGAAAGATCACAGGAAAGCAACAGATTACCGCTCTTAAATCCTTGGCTCAGTCTTCTCTTTGGGCTCACCATGAAGAAAAAGAAGAGAAAATAGGTGAGCCCAGAGAAGAGAACTGAGCCAAGCATGAGCGGTAAGTCTGTTGGTGGGCTTAAGCCCACATCTCTTGAATCAACATCTGCAATCATAACTTCCTCATCAATCTCATCACCTTTTCTTTTAAATAATCTTGGTGATGAGGAGGAAGTTATGGCAGATGATCGTGATTCAAGAGATCGTTCCTTCATCCACAGGCACGGAATTACTTTTTTCTTTTCTTTTTCTCTTTTTGATCTTCTCTTTTTATGATCAAAAAGAAGAGACAAAAGAAAAGAAAAGTAATTCTATGTGCCCGTGGATTAATGAAGGAACGGTGGGCCCCAGAGATCTTGCCTTTCATTTCCTGGGTTTGATGAGATCTCATCTTCAGGATGAGATCAAACCACAGGAAATTAAGAAAGGCAAGACTCTGATCTGGGCCCACAGACAGACGGTGAAGACATGAGATCTTATTTCAGCTGTGAGCTCTTGAAGAGCTGCGCTGTAGCGCCACAGCAAAGGAATTAAGATCTCATGGATCATTCTCCGTCTGTCGTTTCCTTCCTCAGTACGTTCTCTTCTTTCTTTTTCTTTTATTTTAAGTTGATCGGTTCTTCCACTTCGTTTCGATCAACTAATAAAAGAAAAGAAGAAAGAAGGACGTCTGTGAGGAAGGAAACCTTTCATTTCTTTAAGAAATGAAAGAAGACAGGAGAATGATGACCGGCTGATGCACTTTCTCTCTGCCAGAGGCATCAGCCATAAGGTCATCATTACATCTCCTGTCTTCTTCATTTTCTTTAAAGAAAATGAAAGGGCACACGCGATTAATGATCTTCTTTCTATTAATGATGGCCAACCGATCAAACCTTTCTTTTATCTGGATCGGTTGTAGGCCATCATTAGAAAGAAGATTAATCGCAAGCGTGTGCCAACACAAGGATCATTAATTTTCTTTAAGAAAGGAAAATTACGTGAGCGAGTTTCTTTTTCTTTTCATGTGATCGCTCACGTAATAACTTTCCTTTCAAAGAAAATTGATCCTTGTGTGATAACAGCTTATTGTTGGCATAATCGATCTTTCTCTCGTTCACATTAGTGTGGCCTTTGCCTTCTGTCTCTTAAGAGCCACACTAAAGAACGAGAAGATCGTGCCAACAAGCTGTTATCAATTCCTGGCCATAAATAATTTCTTTTCTTTTCTTTCTTTAAAAGTGTGCTTGGCTGAAAGCCTGACCTACGGTCGCACACTTTTATTTTAAAGAAAGAAAAAAGAAATTATTGGCCAGGAATTCGTCTCTTCAAAGAAAATGTGCTCTTCTTCCATCCTCCGGCTCTTCTTTTCCTTACGAGCTGTGCTTCAGCACTTGATTCGCTCGTATAAAGGAAAAGAATATTAGAGCCGGAGATCATGATGGAAGAGCACTATTTTCTGGAAGAGACGGTGGGCCCAGTCATCAGACTGTTAGCTGCGCTAAGGCCCACATTTTCCTTTTTGAAAAGAAAGAAAAGATACGATGGCCTGATTTGAAGTTAACATTTGTGCTGCCATGTGCTGAGGCACTAAACGAAGGCAGCACGTTAACTTCCAGGCCATCTCTTTTCTCTTTTCAGAAAGGAAAATATAATTTGTGATATAATTACTTATTTTCAATTTATTATTATTTAATTGTAAAAAAGAAAATCAATTAAATAATAAATTGAAAAATAAGTAAAATCACAAATTATAAATGGAAAGTTCTGTTTCCACCAACAAATGATTGACAAAGAAAAAGTTGATCGTGAACGAGTGTGCTCGTAATAAACACGATCATTAAACTTTTTCTTACAATCATTTGGTTGGTGGAGAACTTTCCATTACAATATTTTCTTTATCACTTAATCATCTTTTTTAATAAAATGAAAATTCAAGCAAACATATTTTCCTGAAAGGAAGTTTGCATTTTCATTTTATAAAAAAGATGATGATTAAGTGAGAGAAAATATTGATGATCCGTGTTCAATACCTTTTCTTATAGAAGCGGATCATTAGATTGGTCGTGAGCTTGAGCTCCCATCTTCGATGGACGACCAATCAACCGCTTCTAAAGAAAAGAGAATGAACACTGGATCATATTTCCCTTTCTTTTCTTTGAAGATCGTATGATCGTAACTACCTGGCTGACCGTTCTCCCTTCTCTTTATTAAGAGTCAGCCAGTTACGATCACGATCTTCTAAAGAAAAAATAGAAAGGGAAATGATGGCACATCTAATCCTTGCCTTCTTGAACTTCTTTTATCTGTGGGTCCTGAAGGACGCATCATCTAGATGCCCACAGATAAGAAGTTTGAAGGCAAGGATTGTGCCATCGATCCACAGGTTATTGAATTCAATCCATGCTCCGAGCTCTTCTCTTTTTATTTCTTATGAGCTCGGAGATGATGGATTGAAATTCATCCTGTGGATCAAAGAGACAACCTTCATTTGGCTTCAATCTCTTTCATTCATTTCTTAACTCACACAATTATTTACTTTTCTTTTAATTGTGTGTTAAGTTAAGAAATGAAAGAGATTGAGCCAAAGGTTGTCTCTTGTTTCCTTCTTAACGAGCTCCTCAATCCTTTCTTCTGTGCGCTGCAGCGCTCATCTTTGATGAACAGAAGAAAGAGAGGAGCTCGAGAAGGAAACGCTTTCTTGAAGAATGTCTCTTCCATCCCCGGCTATAGAAGAAATCAATTAATAATGATGCCGGGGATATGGAAGAAGACTTCAAGAAAGCAAGATTCCTGACTGACCGTTGATCATTTTCTTTCTCTTAAACCTGTGCTGAAGCACAAGAGAAAGAAAAACAACGGTCAATGGAATCTTCTTTCCTTCACGACTCTCCAAGAGAATTAATCTCCAGAAACGCATTCAAGAGACGATCGTTAAGTGCTGATGCACCGATCATTTGTCTCTTGGCGTTTCTTGGAGTTAATCTCTTGAGTCGTGAAGGTAAGAGCCAGACAGGTTTGACCGCAAGGCCTTAAGGCCTGACATCATGAGCGGTCATCCTTTCCTTAGTCTGGCTCTTACGATCAGCGGTTAAGCCGCATCAGCTATACAACCGCTCCATCAATCCAGCCGTGTGGAAATGAATGCTTCGGCTCTTAGGAGCTTGCTTCAGCAACATTCATTTCTTTCCACACAGCATCATGGATTGATTCAAGCGGTCGTGTAAACGCTGATGCTCCGCTGATCCTGGGCCAGTATCGATCCTTCCTTCAAAGAGGCGTGCGCATCAGCGCATAAGGAAGACGCCTCTTGGAAATGATCGATTAATCCTGCTGGCCCAGGGGATCAGGCCTAACATTCTTTTCTTTGATGGCATCAGCTTGAGGCTGATAATCTGGCCATCAAAAAGGAAAAGAATTGTTATTGAGGCCTGATCCGTCTCTTGATTCCGTCAGGAATTCTTCTTTTTCATTATTAGTGTGCTCGAGCATCAGCTCATGTGGAAGCACACTATGAAAAAGAAATGAATTTCCTGACGATCAAGATACAGAGATCCTTCGGTCAATCTTAGATTTCTTGGCATTTCATCCTGATGATGAAATTTGAATCCAAGAAATAATAAAGATTGACCATTGAAGGATCTCTCATCATTTTCCACCATTATTTTCTCCTTCTTTTCAATCATCGATTGCTGGTTCAATCTTAAGAGTCAGCCATCAGCTGCCAGCAATCAATTGATGATTGAAAATGAGAAAATAATGTAAGGGAAAATGATGACATTCCTTCTCTTTTCCTTTTCTACAATAAAAATTTAATTGTTAACAGCAAATTCTTAGGAATTTATGACAGCTGTTAACGTTTAATTAAATTTTTATTAATAAGAAAAGGAAAATAATAGAGAAGGAATGATTTCCTCTTCAATCTCTTTAAGAATTCTTGCTCACATAAGGAATAAAAAAAGAAAAGCAAGAATTCTTTCAAGAGATTAATGAAGAGGAAATAAATATGAAATTTCTTATCTTTAAAATGAGGTCCTTCCTTCACTGGGTCCGTCTATTAAAGAAAAAGGACTGAAGACGGACCCAAAGGAAGGACATCATAAAGATAAGAAGTAAGATCTCCCTCGATTCCCAGTTTAATTTTCTTTTTCAAAAAGAAAATAATTAAACTTGTGAATCGAGATTGAAGGAGATCTTACATTTCATATTTAATCATGAGGTCCTTCTAATTCCTTCTCTTTCTTTTTTCTTTGGGGGCTCACTTTCTTTTAAAAGAAAAAAGCAATTCGTGAGCCCCAATCAAAGAAAAGAAAGAGAGAATTAGGACCTCATGATCATTCCTTTGGGCTCTAAAATTTTCTTTTGTAATAATTCTCCAGTCAGATGCTGTCTCTTAATAAAGGAAAAGAGACATGAGACAGCATCTGGTGAATTATTAAAAGAAAATTAATTAGGAGCCCAAGGAATGCCATCTCTTTATGGTCGTCAGACAGGTGCGTCCTTAACGATTGATCAATTGATGGTGAGCCTCAGCTAAGTCATCCATCAATTTATTATCAATCGTTAATAAGGAACGCACCTGTAGACGACCTTAATAAAGAGATGGATTCCTGACAGATCGTGTAAAAGAAATTCATAACTTCCAAGCTCATCATCAAATAAAAAGAAAAAAGAACATTCGCTTGGAAGTTAATTTCGTTTACGATCTGTTCAGGAATACCTTTCCACCAACGTGCTCGTCTTTCAAGAGTTTGATGGAGGCTCTTTAAGAGCCAATCAATGCCATCAAACGTTCTCTTGAAAGAAAAGAGCACATAAGGTGGAAAGGAACACATTCTCTTATAGGAAATGAATTTGAAACATATTTCTTGGAAATGCTTTTCTCTCAAGGAAAACCCAAGAAATATGATTTCAAATTCAATTTCCAAGAGAATGTGTCCTGGCGGTAAAGGAGAATGATGACTTCATCGCTTCCGTTCTTTCCATTTTCTTTTGAGGAAGCGATGCATCATTCTTAACGCCAGGCTTTCCCTTTCCATCCGATCTCCTTTCATTCACTTTTCAAATGAAAATTTAATTGCTTTCTTCTCTTTCCTTTGCAATTAATTTTCATTTTAGAAAAAGTGAATGGAGATCGGAGGTGGATAAGGGAAAGAAATTCCTTTCCAAATTGAATTTTTATTATGAGCTCATCATTCCATTATTAATTTCTTTTTTCTTTTTTGGAAATTAATAATTGATGAGCTCATAAAAAATTAACAATTTGTAGAAAGGAATTTGATTAACTCCTGAATGATGAATCCACCAGCACAACATATTGCCTTCCAATCAGCTCTTATTCTTGATTGGAACGAAGGCAATATGTAGCTGGTGGATGATCAGGAGTTAATCGATTTCTTCCTGAACACATCGTTTTCTTCCAATCAAACTTTCCCATTATAACTTTCCACAAATGAATAAAAGAGATGGAAAGTTATGGAAAGTTTGATGAAG